TATATATATATATATTGTTGTGTAATTTGAGCTTGATTGAAGGTATAATTAATGTGATTGTAATAATTATAATTGACATGTTTAATTATCCGTTATTATTAAATTAATTTATTATAGAGTTAATAGTAGTTAAGATTAACATTAAGTGATCCCAGAAACTTTTCTACAAATCATGTTTCCAAATTAGATTTTATAACTTTAATTTAGATATTTTAGAATGGAGGGATGATGGAGCAAAAGGGATACTACAAAGTAAAAAGAGAAAGATAAGAAAGAATATCAAGGGAGAAAAGAAGAAAAGGAAATAAATAGAAAAAGAGTAAAATTGGAGAAAAGAAAGAAATAGGACTTACTTACATATATATCTTTGTTCTTGCTAATTATATCATTCTAAACTAAGCTTAATTCTCATTTTCGTACAAAAATTAAACTTGTGAACACGAATGAAAGTCATTGTATTTTTTATTATTAGATAATTACTATAAGTGTAATCGAATTTCCCTCGATATGATCAAGAGGAGAAATGCTAAAGAACACAAGAACATATTTTTTCCCATTAATTTTATTATTTATTCTAAATCTGTTTATCTGTGAGAATATTTGTCTAAATATTTGCAACAAAGAATTATGTTACACGCATGCGGGATATTTAATCACGTTCCATGCGACAATTAAGAATGGGAAGAAAATAACAGACGCGAAAGGCACTTAGCCACGAGTAGAATGATGTAAAAGGCAGCGTGTTACTATTCGTGTACCGTTACTACGGCAATCTAAATGAAGGATTTCTTATTTTTCCGTGCAGCTGGAACAGCACACAGACCGGAACGTAATATGGCCGGACACAAAGCCAGACTTTAAACAGAGTAAATGATTGGCCTCCTTTTTTTCTATCACACGACTTTCAACGGCCCTCGAATCTGTTTCTTGCTCATTCACCGATCAATAGTCATTTTCTTTGATTTTTCGTCCCGTTCGTTCGAAGTTCACCGCCGACGAAATCATGGCTCGCGTGCAATTCTCTAATCACCGTTTCCAATCTAACTGTACATACGGCTAACTGTTCACTGTCGAATGTTATCTCTTTGTTATCACTCTAAAATACATTTACTTCATATTTTTCATTAATTATTGTAATGTAACTATTTGAAAAAAAATTGCAAAATGTCCATAAGTAACATACTACACAAAGTATGGTAAAAATTGTTCTGTATATTTATAAAAATTTCTTTCGATTAATGAAGAAAGTAATTAAGAAACATTTCCAAAGATAATAGTTTATTCATTGATTTTTATTAACTTAATTTTCTCTGTGTTTCACTGATGTTTTATCTTTATTTCCTCCGCTTTTTCATTGTGCTGAATAACTGATTACGTCAGTTATTATAAAATAGGAAATGTAATTACACATACATCGAAGAACATTAATTAGAATTAAATATCAGTCTTGAAACCATGAAGCTTGACTTTTATTTTCATGCCATGCAAAGATAATAAAAATATTATTAACTAAGAAGAGAAAATACCTGCACGACTATAGGAGTTAATTTTCGTGATTCGTTCTTGATAAGAAATGGCACCGCACAAAGTGTAGTGGCAAATTAGTGGACGGTGGTCTTAAAGAGGAGCGTGACAAAAGGTTATTATGCGTGGGTTTTACGATCGAAAAGGTAGGCTCGAAAGGTGACTGAACTCTAAACTCTTTGCTGAACTCTCCCGAAAGAAATACCAAAATCGTATCATTTTAAAAAATCAAGAAAACGTTGAATTGTTCGAGGTGTCAATTATTATTTAATACTTAGTGCAGTTTTTAATTTCCAGGAAGAGGATATTAGGCCTGTGAAATTGGCGATCGATAGACCTTCGGAGAAGTTCCTGGCCTTTCTAGACAAATACTATGGTCTCTCAAAGATTATTCCGCAGAATAATAAATTTGTTGTCTTTCAAGGATTTTTCGACGACGGTACGTATTTTTTTTTTTTTT